AAAAAAAAAAAAAAAAATCATTTTCAGCAATCAGAGGCCAACACTTCATCAACAACTTTGTTCAATAGAGCAATTTTTTCGAGATAAAAGATGTAATGTGTGATCACAGGATATTCTATACCATCATATAAAAGGCGAATGTCGAGTGAATAAGAATACGAGATTGTGATGTCATATTTACTTGCCTCGTCTATTTTCTTCTGAAGCTCCAAAAGTTCTTGGCAGTATGTGAGGCACTCTGCATGATATGCAGCTGCCAATTCTTTGATCAAAGCCTTCCTTCTAATGATACCAACCACTGCAAAAGATAAAAGAAACAAAAATGGCGATTATGCAAAAGATACAAAAGATGCAATTTTTGGTCTTTTTCATTCAATTTCAAGAAGAGATCCCCAAATTATTCTTAGTATCGTCATAAACAGTTCCAAAAATCAAACATTACCTCAACAGAAACCAACTGTCCAAAATTTAAACATTTTTTTTTTCCTCGCAAACATGAGAATCCAATATGTACACTACATAAGAAGTTTATGAGAAAGGCTTTGATAAAGCACATAAGAGTAACTCGGTGAACCAATGGGAGCCTGTTCGGGTTACCGAGCAATGTTAACCCAATTCGGGGACCGGACATAATTTGGGGTTGACCGTTGGGCCAAAGGGATGGCTCGGGAAAGAGAAGAACTCGGCTTGTGTACAATATGGGTAACTCGGCCTGTTGGTTGTTCGGCCTATTGAGATACTCAGTAGCTCGGCTTTCTGAGAGCATGTGAAGTTTATGAGAAAGGCTTGTTTTATCATTTAACTGAATATTGAGCTCAAACTTCCAGAAAAATACTAAGCTAGCAACTATACTCTAACAACCGACATAAACAAAAGTATGTTATTTCACAGCACAAATATGCAATTTTGTTAAAATAGTGACTAATGGTTCACCCCCTCATACAAGAACTCTGCGATCCAAATTAGACAGAGGAAAATAATACTTGCAAAATTAAATCTTTTCACCATTTGATTCCACAATTTTCAATCGCAATCAACAGAATTACTAATACGCCACCAAGATCATAAAAAA